TCGTGCCTGGATATATATTAGAGATATCTATTTCTGACTTGGGGAGCTCGACAACACATGGAAAAGAACGGTGAAAACAACCCGCAGTCCTGAATAATCATGAATAATTGAAACTCTACACAAATAGCCTTGAAAACAAATACAGCAACACATAATGAGAAGCATCAAAACATTTTTGTTGTCTGAAAAGTCATGCCAAGATCTATTTACTTTCGTTGCACGAAAAGCCATCGGTAATTGATTTGTAGGAGAAAATTTCGCATTGTTTTGATCGAGGGTGACAAACTCAAAATTGAAATAAACTCAAACTTTACTGAATTAAAAGTACCACGAGGCTTTTAGTGTCTTAGTTTACATTGTAACCACAGCTTCTTAGGGCTTTTACTTATTAATGCCACGAAAAAAACTAAGAAGCTTTTATGAGAAAGTGATATTATATTGACTCTTCCACCCCTCGTGAAGGAAATAATAATTTCTAGTTTTTAATTTATTCGTATTATGATTTTTATTTTTTATTTTCTAAATAATATTAAATTGAAAAGGTACTCTATCTTTTGACTACCTTTTGAATTTAATGTTATTGAAAAACGTACTCCCTGCCGATGTGATCTGTGTGTGTGTGTGTGTGTGCAAATCCTCGCTTGCTGTTTTCTACCTTGGCTTTTTATTAATTTAATTTTCGATTGGTTTTCATTTCGCCTAGGGGCGTTTGATTCTGAAACAATGTTGTGCAAATTAAAAATATGTATATATAGATAAATTCAATCTTGGGTACCGGAAATCAGCCGGGAAATACAAATCACTTAAGAAGCTAAAATTAATACGCTTTGAGCGCGATAGGTATTTTATAAACAAAAGTAAAGTAAAAATATCACAGAGAAGAGATGACATTCCATGCTTGCACAGAGAAAGAAATACTGTGGGACAAGCGATAGAGCTACATTGGGGTAAGCCCTTGAATATCAATGTTTTGTCAAATATCTTGAGATACTCTGAGAGACTTCACTAACTGCCTGCTGAGCAATTTTGTGGCGCCACCCAGTTATCGAATTCCAAGTCCTGAGTGATCTAGATACGCAATTATTTGACCTCACTAGTGGCGCACTTCTACTTAACTGCCTACATTTATATAGCTCAATTTCGAATCACGTCCTAATCAAACTGACCCAAGTGAGTTCAGCAGATACGCAATGAGTTTTATTTGTGGTCTGAATCCACTTTAGTGGCTCGCTCCTACTAACTGCCTTCTTTATAGCTCAATTTCGAACCACTTCCTAATCAAACTAACCCAAGTGAGTTCAGTACGTAGATACGCGATCAGTTTTATTGTGGTTTGATTTCATTAGTGGCGCGCTCCTAGTA